GGAGGAATGAGAGAGTTCTTAATTAGACACTGATATTACTCTTTGTAAGAAATTACCTTGTCTATCCTCCAGGGTATCTTGACTTCCCTCTCTGACAACTTTTTTGTTTTATTTCATGGCCACAGTTGAAATGTGTATTGAGGAGTATACCCTCCTTGGGGGCTGTACAGATTTTGTAACTCAAATTCCTGTTGATCTACATTTGGAAGCTTAAATTTTGTTTTAAGGCTCAAATGCTCAAAGATTTGTTGCTGCTTTAAACTGAGACACTTGGTTTCTTTGGCAATGAAGTCATCTCAAAATCTAATTGGCTTCTGACTTGTTTGCTTCCACTCAATTCCATGTACTAATAACTTCATTGAAAATTGTTCAATAAATAATATTTGAATTAAACAATTAACAAAAGCTATCTAAAAGCTAATTTTAAAACATTTATCAAAAATAAAATATACCTTCTTTTTCCAAAGGACATATAACTTTCACAATAATTCATTCTGTATTTAGCTACAAAGCTTAATTTAACAAGTTCCAAAAAGCAGAAACTACAAGTCACAATCTCTACATGTCAAAATATATGGCATGTGGTTACCTCTGATATCAGAGGTAAAAGCAGTCATACTTTTATTATTAACCATAAAAAATAACTATATCACACCTCCAGCTAAAAAAATTAGAGTACAATAATAAATGTGCTAATCAAGAGACAAGAATAAGGAAATAAAAAATAGAAACTCTAAAACACACACCAAAAACTTAAAAATTCAAAATGTTTTTTTAAAGACCAGTAAAAGAGACAAACATTTGACAAAACTGATCATTGTCAGTAACATTTATTGGGTACTCACTACTTACAATGTATTTTGCTAAGCAGTTTATAAGAACTTAGCTCACTTAATGCTCAAAGTCATGTTATGAAACTTATTCATTCATTTACTTCATAAACATTTATTAAGTACCAACTATGTGCCCAGCACTCTATGAGACACTGTGGACATAGTGCTGAACAAGAGAACTGATGTCTCTGCCCTCAAGATATTTGCATTCTGAAAGAACAAATAAATACCCTCATTTTACAGTTGGGGAAACCAGATCATAGAACTTAGATAACTTTCTTAAGGTTACATAGCATTCTTTGTGTTTGAATTTTATTGTATTCCCTGGTATATCGTGACCCTAACCAACACAGAATGCTAAAAAGGGGAGGGGGAGATTGAGAAAGCACATACTCAAACCATTAAAATTGTAAATACAAATTTTAAAAAAAGATACAAATATTATCACCATATTATTGCAAACATTTTTTTTTCACCTACTTGCTCTGTGCCAGGTAGTACTTTAAATCATTAAATGTTTATAATTACCCTCTGAACTACGTATTATTATTTCTACCATATTTTACATTTTGGGTAACTGAAGAAATGAAATTAGATATTAAAAAACTTGTAGTTGCATGCATATCAAACTACAATGAGGTATCACCTCACACTGGTCAGAATGGCCATTATCAAAAAAGCTAGAAATAATAAATGCTGGAAAGGGCATGGTGAAAAGGGAACCCTCCTACACTGTTGGTGGGAATGTAAATTGATACAACCATGATGGAAAACAGTATGGAGGTTCCTTAAAAAACTAAAACTAGAACTACCATATGACCCAGAAATCCCACTACTACTTGGCATATACCCTGAGAAAACCATAATTCTAAAAGAGGTATGCACCACAATGTTCATTGCAACACTATTTACAATAGCCAGGACATGGAGCCAACCTAAATGTCCATTGACAGATGAATGGATAAAGAAGATGTGGCACATATATACAATGGAATATTACTCAGCTGTAAAAAGAAATGAAATTGAGTAATTTGTAGTGAGGTGGATGGACCTAGAGTCTGTCATACAGAGTAAAGTAAGTCAGAAAGAGAAAAACAAATACTGTATGCTAACACACATATATGGAATCAAAAAAAAATGGTACTGATGAACCTAGTTGCAGGCCAGGAATAAAGAGGTAGACATAGAGAATGGACTTGATGACATGGGGTGGGAGGGTGAAGCTGGGATGAAGTGAGAATAGCATCAACATATAAACACTACCGAATGTAAAATAGTTAGCTACTGGGAAGCAGCAGCATAGCACAGGGAGATCAGCTCGGTGCTTTGCCATGACGTAGGGGTTGGGATAGGGAGGATGGGAGGGAGGCTCAAGAGGGAAGGGATATGGGGACATGAGTATGCATATGGCTGATTCACTTTGTTGTGCAACAGAAACTAACACAGTATTGTGAAGCAATTATACTCCAGTAAAGATCTATTTAAAAAAAAAAAAAACTTGTAGTTGCAGAGCTGTATTTATCCTGGGAAGTCTGGATGTAGAATATAGGCTTAACTACTACTAAAACATGTGACCACTTATGATGAAAGAATTTTTTTAAACCTTTAAACAATTGGCATTTATATAACTCACTGCTAAAACATTGTAATTATGGATGAAATACTTGATTTTCTAGGGAAACATGAATCACCAAAGTTGACACAAGCAAAAATTTATATACAAATAATTAAAGAAAACATGGAAGAAATTGAAAACACTTTCAAAAACCTAACTCTGCTGATGGTTGGCAGGTGCAGGTGAATTTTTGTGAGTCCTATCAGTGTTCTAAGGAACATATAATTTCTCTACTATTTAAGCTATCAGAATAGGAGATAGGAATGTTCTGGAATGTTTACCAAGCTATCACCCATCACTATGATACCAAATCTGTCAATGCTAACTTGTAAACAAAGCAACCACCAACTCACTAACAAATATGCACACATGCAAACCAAGAAACCTAATGAGTACAGACAATCTCACCTTTGAATATAGATGCAAAAATCTTAAATTTAAAAATATATCAAATCCATTCTTGTACACATTAAAAGAGTGATATATCAGGCCAATGTAAGTGTTATTTGAAAATGCAAGGTTCAGTTTTCCTGGATATTGAAGCAAAAATTGTCAACTCTAGTACAGCAATTTCAAGTCTATATTTTATTCCTAAGAAACAATTAAGAAAAGTGTTAAAAAATAAACAGGGTGTTTATCATAACATTGTTTATAATAGTGAATATTGCTATTGCTCCAGTCAGGAAAATTATTGGAAAATATCCTACATTTAGCGATTATAATCCATCGTAAAATGTTACAAAATATCCAAGTAGTATACACAAAGCACTTTGATGTTTAAAAGAAAAAAAATCCCAGCCGACTGCACAAATAAGGGAAGACTTTACTGAAGAGGAAGCATTTAGAATGGGTCTCAAAGAATTAGTAGCATTTTAACAGGTATGACTGGGAACACACAAAGTTGTGTTTCTGGGTCAGGAGATATGGAAGGAAGTAGTGAGAAATCGAACTGAAAAAGCAGACTGGGTCCAGAGCATAAAGTACATTAAATGTAGATAGTAATAAATAAAACAGTGGAACAGAACTGTGAAGCCCAAAAAGATTTAAGCATGTGAGAACCAATTATATAACAAAGGCAACATTCCAAAAATTGTCGGAAAAGGAGTTTTAAGGGTGCTAAAATAATTAGTTGCACTTCCTATTTCACATCAAAAACATGAATATAGTCCAGATGGATTAAAGATCCAACTGCTAAAAAATAATTTTTACAAAATGCTACCAGAAACGCTGAAGGAAATATGGACATAAACTTGGGTTTACAGATAATTTTACAAGAAAACAAAAATTCAGAAGTTATGAAGGAAACTACAAATATGTTTGTTTCTCCCAAAAATATTTATAAACTTGTATCACAGATACCATAATAAACTATCAATACACTGAGAAAGAATTTTTCTGAGAAACAAAGTCATAATAGCCCTAATACACAAAGAACTCTAAGAAATTAAACAATGCAAACAGGCAAATAGAAAAGTGAAAGAAATAATTGCAAAATAATATAAGCAAACAATTCACAGAAAAGCAGATTCAAACAGTCAATATAATTATGAAAAGATGTTCAACTTTCTTAGAGTCCAGAGAAATTTTAACAGAATGCCACTTTTAACCTTTCAATGCTGACAAAAATTAAACAGATTGATCACATAATGCGGTGGCAAAGATATGGGAAAACAGTCTCATATATTACTTATACATGTGGAAACTGCTACTATATTATTGGAAAACAATCTGGCAGTACTTATTAAAATTAAAAATGTGCATGCCCTTTGATCTATCAATTCCACTTTTGTGAATGTTGTAGAAACTGAAAAGCAATGGTATATGATATATGTACAAGGTTGCTTATAGAAATATTATTTCTTAGTAGCAAAAAAAAAAAAAAAAGGAAAAAGGTTGGGACTATGCTGAATGTCTAAGTATAGGGGATGGTTGATTAAATTCTGATACATCTATACAAGGGAATAATATGCAGCTATTAGCCAGAATAAGTCAGGAGTTGCTCTTGGATTTGATATTTTATTAATAAAATAACTCATCATATGTGTTTATATATGCATCACTACAACAAGGTGGGAAATTACTTGCTAACTGTATTTCTTTTTGCAGAAAGGAGATACTTGAAGGGGTGGGAGCCAAAAAAGTTCTTAATTCACTTTTCCTGACTCTTTTGTTCAACATTTGTAATAAGCATATATTATTTTGTAATTTATCCAAGTTACTTTTGCCATTTAAACAAATTTACAAAGTTACAAAAATAAAGTATAATATATATATGAATATATATATGTATGTAATATATATATATATATGTAAAATAGAGTCTCTGAATTGCTTTCCTGAAATACGAAAGAAAAGGAAACTATCCTCCGTGTAATCTAACTACTTACCAGACGATCCACATGGAAAGTGAAGTACATCAACCAGCACACCGTCCTTAATTGTGATGACACTTTATCGCACTCAGCCTATTAAGTGCTTAAATTACCAGATAACAGAATCTATGTTCTTAATAGTGGAAAGTGTATTAATGGTATTTTCCTTCCTTATTGTAGCCCAGTTCCAACAATCACATGGATGAAGGTTAATGGTTACATTCCTGGTAAAGCACGTCTGCGTAAATCTCAGGCAATACTGGAAATACCCAATGTGCAGCTGGACGATGCAGGCATATATGAATGCCGAGCTGAAAACTCACGTGGAAAAACTTCCTTTCGTGGACAATTACAAGTATACAGTAAGTGTTTTCAGCAAAAATGGATGCTCTAGTCCCAAGAGTCAAACTGAAAATACAAACTAATTTGAACTAAATATTGCTTGTTAGCTACATTAGAACATGAGTAATAATTTATAATCATGTTTCTTTTACATGGCAAAGCATCAGGTAAAATTACCCTATACACAGAACTGCTTTAAATTAAAAATGAATTGGAATTATAAGGTTCTTTGTACAACATAAAGAATTGATAACCTTAAAAATGAGATACGTTCCCAGCACCAAAGCCATCCTCTAAGTTACAAATCTTGTAACCTTTATTAACTTATTCTGCCCTTGGCCTGAATCAGAAGTCACAATTAATGCCCATGAACCAAATCCTACTTGTCTTTTTTCCTTGTAAATTTATTGGAACACAGCCTCACCCCTTTGTTTACATATTGCCTAGGTCAGCTTTTGCACTGATAAGGCAGAATTAAGTAATTGAGACTGAGATCAGCTGACTTGCAAAGCCTCAAATATTTTGCTATCTCATCCTTTACAGGCCAAATTTGCTGCCCCTACTCTAAATTAATGCATCTGTATAATAAATGAACTTCACAGCCTGCAAGTGTTTATATTGTCCAAAAATTTCAGAGATAACAAGTTATGTGTAAAATTGGGAAAATCTACTTCAAAAATATGTACAATATCATCTTTACTTCTATGAATCACAAATTGTACTTTTCATATTTACTACTTTTCATATTTGCTTTTATAATGTACATTATACATAAAGGGTAAGTGATAATACTCGTATTTCTCAGATGAGGGCTCTGAAAAACAGAGGAAAACTATAATGCAGAGCACTGATACAAGCAAATACATATGTTTCCAATATGAAATTAAACAAATTTCATATTCAACTGAATCAGCCAGCAGCTATAACTGTCACTGTATCTCAAGGTCAGTTCTTCTAAAAAACTGAATGTTCTTCACAGGGACTTTAAAAAGTATTTTGAAATATTAATATCTGAATTCAACCAGTTTTCCTTTTCTTATTTGTAACAACTCCTTTAGAAATTGAGCACCCCAACCAACTTGACTATGCCATGCACATTTTGTTCATTCACTCATTAATTCAACTAATGTTTATTTAGTGGCTATTACTGCACTACATGCTAGTAATAGAGATTTGAAGGAGCTCTTGGTCCACTAGATCAGATGAAAAGCAAGCCCCACATAAGGCAGAGCATGCTATCTGCTGTGATGAAAGCATGTGCAAAGGACTATGGGAGCACAGGGTCCACTGCATTCTACTGGGATGATTCAGGAAAGCATTCCAGAGAATTTGTACTTTAAGGGATATCCCACCCACTAGTGGTCTGGCAGCCAGCTGGGTCAGGACCCAGCCTCTACCATCAGCAGGCTGGCCCCAGTCCGAGGACCCCCCAGGGCCACATAACCAGCTACCAACCAGTGGTCAGTGCCAGCCTTGTTTCACCAGGCCATGAAGCCAGCCATGCTGGGACCCAGGCACTCACTCCAGCAGGCCAGCAGCCACTGTATTAGGTAGGGCCAGACAGCAAATGAGGCAGAAATAAATTAAATAGAGGCTAGAAAACAATTTTTAAAAATCAATGAAACTAAGAGCTGGTATTTTGAAAAGATAAACAAAGTTGATAAACCTTTAGCTAGACTCATCAAGAAAAAAGGGATCCCATATAAATTAAATCAGAAATGAAAGAGAAGTTACAGCCAACACCACAGTAATACAAAGGATCATAAGAGATTACTACAAACAGTTATATTCCAATAAAATGGACAATGTAGAAGAAACAGATAAATTTCTGGAAATGTCCAATCTCCTAAGAATGAATCAGGAAGAAATAGAAAATATGAACAGACAAATTTCCAGTAATGAAATTGAATCAACAATTTAAAAAAGAAAAAAGAAAAGAAAGCTTCCAGAAAACAAAAGTCCAGTACCAGATGGCCTCACATGTGAAATCTATCAAAAATTTAAAGAAGAGTTAACATCTATCTTTCTCAAACTATTCCAAAAATTTGCAGAGAAAGAAATGCTTCTGAATTCATTCTTCAAGGCCAATATCACCCTGATACCAAAACCAGACAAAGATATCACACACATACACAAAATTTTAAGCTAATATCATTGATGAACATAGGTGTACATAACATCAACAAAAAATTAACAAATTGAATTCAACAATACATTAAAAGGATCATACACTCTGATCCACTGGGACTTACCCCAGGGATGCAAGGATGGTTCAACATCCACAAATCAATCAATATGATATACCACCTTAACAAATTAAACAATAAAACTCAAATGATCATCTCAATAGAAAAAGCTTTTGACAAAATTCAACATGCATTTATGATGAAAACTCAACAAAGTGAGTATAGAGGGAACATATCTCAACATGATAAAGGCTGTATATGACAATCCCACAGCTAACACCATACTCAATGTGGAAAGCTAAAAGTATTTTCTATCAGATCGGGAACAGGACAATGATGCCTACTCTTGCCATTTTTATTCAAAATAGTGTTGGAAGTCCTAGCCACAGCAATCAGACAAGAAAAAGAAATCCAAATTGGAAAAGAAGTAAAACTTTGCAAAAGACAGGATACTTTATAGATAAAATCCTAAAGACACCACTCCAAAACTATTACAGCTCATCAATGAATTCAATAAAATTGCAAGATACAAAATTAATATATAGAAATCTGTTGCATTTCTAAGTAAAAACTAACTGCAAACTCTCAGAAAGAAAAATTATGAAAACAATCCCATTTACCATCACATCAAAAAGAGTCAAATACCTAGGAATAAATCTAACTAAGGATTTAAAAGACCTATACGTGGAACATTATAAGACACTGATGAAAGAAATTGAACATAACACAAACAAATGGAAAAGTATAACATGCTCAAAGTTTGAAAGAATTAATATTGTTAAAATGACCATAATACCCAAGGCAATCTACAGATTCAATGCAACCCCTATCAAAATATCAAAGGCATTTTTTACAGAACTAGAACAAATAATTCTAAAATTTGTATGAAAACACAAAAGACCCCAAACAGCAAAAGCAATCTTGAGAAAGAAGAACCAAGCTGGCAGTATCACAATCCTTGATTTCAAACTATACTACAAAGCTCCAGTAATCAAAACACTACAGTACTGGCACAAAAACACACACCTAGATCAATGGAACAGAATAGAGAGCCCAGAAGTGAACCCACATGTATATGGTCAAGGCCGCTGAGCATGTGTGTCCGGAGCCTGTGCTCTGCAACAGGAGAGGCCACAACAGTGAGAGGCCCGTGTACCACAAAAAAAAAAAAAAAGAACTAAATCAAACTAAAAAGCCTTTGCACAGTAAAGGAAACTATCAAAAAGGTTGCCAACTGAGTAGGATATTTGCAAATGATACATCTGATAAGGAGTTATAAACCAAAATGTACAAAGAACTCATACAATTCAACATCAAAAAAACAAACAACCCAGTTAAAAAATGGGCAGAGGACCTGAATACACACTTTTTCAAAGAAGATATGCATATAGCCAACAGGCACATGAAAAGATGTTCAACATCTCTAGTCATCGGGGAAATGCAAATCAAACCAACAATGAGCATCACCTCACACCTGTCAGAGTGGCTATTATCAAAAAACAACAAATAATTGTTGGTAAAGATGTGAAGAAAAGGGAACCCTCATGCACTGTTGGTGGGAATATAAATTGGTGTAGCCACTGTGGAAAACGGTATGGAGATTCCTCAAAAAATTAAAAAATAAAACTACCATATGATTCAACAATTCCACTCCTGGATATTTATTCAAAGAAATGTAAACAATAATTTGAAAATAAATATGCACCCCTATGTTTATTGCAGCATTATTTATAATAGCCAAGGTATGGAAGCAATCTAAATACTCATTTATAGATTAATGGATAAAAATGATGTGAGATTTTATATATATATATATATATATATATATATATATATATAGAAAAGATGGACTAATACTCAGCCTAAAAAAAAAGAATGAAATCTTGCCAACTGCAACAACAAGGGTAGAACTAGAGGGTATTATGCTAAGGGAAATACATCATAGAAAGACAAGTAGCATATGATTTCACTTATATGTGGAATCCAAAAAACAAAATAAATGAACAGACATAAAACAGAAACAGAGTCATAGGTACAGAGAACAAACATGTGGTTGCCAGAGGGAAGAGGGGTGGAGGAATGAAAGAAATAGATGAGGGAGATTAAGAGGTACAAACTTAAAAAAATATTTGACAATGGAGGAAAGACACTTTAACCATATCTTACAGATTTCATACAATTGCATTGTCATCTTTCTGATAAAGAAATTTTTCTCTGTTGTAATTTTGAAAGCTTATATATTTACATACATATTTATAATGCACTAGAATGCTAGTAAATATAGAACAATTTTATAGCAAATGAAATTTGAATTTACAAATTATTTTCCCAAAGCTATTCAGGTTCTATCAGAAAAGAAAAAGCAGAGCAGTTATTCAATAAACTGACATGTTTTAGTACTTCAATCCATGCTAAAGCTGCTTTAGTATTTGGAAGAAGTGATACCTCTAAGCCTTCTTTACTAAACAAGTTCCAGTGCTCTCCATGGGGAGAGTCTAGCCACTTACTGCAAAGTGGGTAAAACAACAAGATTTGCTTCACTTAGATTATCAGAACATTATCATTGCTATATTTTTTTACACAGGAAATAGAGTGCTGTGTGTAATGTAATGCTGTGTTTCTTCCAAACACCAATAGTTAATGCATAAGAATTTGTGAATATTCCATATGAATTTTGAGCTTGGTGAAGTATTTGAGAAATGAAATCACCCTTATTTAATGCCTAAACTCTTACAGCATACCCACACTGGGTAGCAAAACTGAATGATACTCAGTTAGACAGCGGGAGCCCTCTCCGATGGGAATGTAAGGCTACTGGAAAACCCAGACCCACATACCGTTGGCTGAAGAATGGAGTACCCCTCTTGCTTCAGGTACTGTTGGTAACCTTAGCCTGTTCCAGTGTAATTTTAGACGGATTTCACAAAGGATAAGCTATCTTCCTTTAGTCTTATTGAAAGCCATTTCTTACGTATCCCTTATGTTTGGAATGAGAAAAATAACATATATAAACAAGATTTTCTTTTAATTTTAATTGGCTTATTACTTTTTTGAGTAATATATCACTTCTTTAAACATTATTCTATCCTATAAATTCTTTCAAAAATATCAATGATTATCATAGATGTATTGCCATTTCCAGCAGACTTTTAGACATCATCTAGTTTATTGCTGTCACTTTGCAGATGATGGAGTTATCTCCAAGAAGTAAAGTGACTTGCCCAAGATCATATATCTAGTAAGAGGTGATACTGAAATAGAATCCTAGTCTTCTGTGTCCTGGGCACGTTCTTCACAACATCCTGCTACATATTGAAAAGTTTATTTTTAGTAAATCTATTGCATTCTTTTATTTTACTTTTTATTTTTTAACATCTTTATTGGAGTATAATTGCTTTACAATGGTGTGTTAGTTTCTGCTGTATAACAAAGTGAATCAGCTATACATTTACATATATCCCCATATCTCCTCCTTCTTGTGTCTCCCTCCCACCCTCCCTATCCCACCCCTCTAGGTGGTCACAAAGCACCGAGTTGATCTCCCTGTGCTATGCAGCTGCTTCCCACTAGCTACCTATTTTACATTTGGTAGTGTATATATGTCCATGCCACTCTCTCACTTCATCCCAGCTTACCCTTCCCCCTTCCCGTGTCCTCAAAACAACTTAATACCTACTGAATTTGAGAATAAATCGGTTACTATTTAAAATAAGAATAATTGTTATAATTTCAGCTCTTTCCCTTGTCGTGGCCTTTCCAGGAAGGAGGACAAAAAGGGAATAGTTCACTATTTATGGACAAAAGAGAGAGAAAGTTTGAAATTCCAAACACAGCTTCTGCCCAGGTCCTGTCATTACCAAAGGATCTCATCTGACATTTGCCTCTTTGGGCTTTGGTTTGCTCTTTTGTAAAATGAAGAGATTGGATCAGATCACCCCCACAGTCCCATTGAGCTCCGATATTCCCTTATTCTAAAACCAGTTAGTCCAAAACAGAACACAGTTACACAAAAAAACAGACACAAATAAAAAGAACAATAGAGCTGTTAAGGAAAACTGAGGGGGAGGGAGTGGGAATCCTGAGATACTGGTTCATTGCCTGTCTCTCTCTAATTCTCTGGGATATCAGGTAAACCTTGAGATGGGATCTGTGCTAGTTATATTTTCAACTGTCACATCCAAGTAAAGTGAATTCCACTGGCAGATAATAGTCTGTTAAGTGAATGGGTTAATTTTTAAAATGATGTCAAATTTCTTGGCATCTTCGTTGATAGGTAATCAAAGCACTGCTCACTAAAATTAAAAGAATGATTTGTTTGACATTAAGTAGATAAGACACCTGGTTGTTTAACAGCATTTTAAATTTAAAATTTGCTTGTCAAATGTGTTCTTGGCCTCAGTTTACCTCAGTTTGCTCATGCTCAATCCTCTGTTTCCTGTATTGTTTCATCTGACCAGTTTACATTTTCTGACCAATAGTTCTATACAGAATCCAGTTGCAAGGCAGTTTTTTGATTTGTGTTACTGTGTTGGGAAGTGAGAGAAAAGGCAAATTTCTGACCGGATTAATGTAGTAAAGAGATTCTTGTGATGACCTGGTCTGTATTTAACCTTGATCCCATGTATATACAGTCTCGATCCTTCTACCATTTGAACTCCTGCTTCTCCTTTGTAAAATGAATTCAAATAAAAGCAGTATCAGCTGATTGTATTTCATAAGCTTAACTAGTATACCAAACAAAAGCAGCTTATTTTAAAAACATAACTAAAAGTAAAACTCATAACTACAGGAAAATATAGTAATAATTAGGTTTCTGACTGAGAAATAGTTGTATTTTACATAAGATGTTATATTAGAATAATGAACAGAAGATTTGTGTTCCTAAGTTGTCAAATAATGTTCAATTGCATTAATCAGAAGCTTTTCTGTCTTGATCTAGGAGAGAGTAACTGTAAAATCTCTATGATTTGTTCACTTGCTATATCTATTTTTTTTTTTATTCCATTACAGAGTAGGGTTGAGATGGTTAATGGAGTATTGATGATCCACAACGTGAATCAATCAGATGCTGGAATGTATCAGTGTTTGGCTGAAAATAAATATGGAGCCATTTATGGGAGTGCTGAGCTGAAGATCCTAGGTATGCAATTTCTAAGTAAATAAAGAGGAAAAAAATGTTGCTTCTTTTCATGCTCTAATTCTTACTATACTGAAGGTTTATGATGTGATCGTAAAAACCTATTTTATGGTTTGAAAAGAAATACTATGTCTTGCTGATATGTATTTTTTAAGCTTGAGGAGACAAGTATACATGGTGTACAGTTTATCCCGTAACTTTCTATAAGATTTTCTCTAATTTTAGTTTTAACCCTAACAGGTTTATACAATATGTCTTTTCTATGGCATTAAAAAAAATCATATAAGAAAAGTATGTTAACTTTCAAGGAAGAATGCTTTAAGGGTAGGGAATCAGAATGTAGGTTTTCAACACAGCAGCGCTTAATATTCTCCCAAGCAGCTCCTACCTACCAGTAGGGGTGTGGCTCCTGCAAGGTGGGACTCCTAAGTAAATCACCCTCTCTTGAAGTGTCATCAACCATTGCCACCCTTCCAGGTTGATGAAAGCCTTTCTGAGGCCAGGCCAGCAAGCTCCTAGTGTTACACTCTTGAGAATATAACCACAACACAAGCACTACTTCACTCTTTACTACAAGAAAAATTCAGTCCAGGGGAATAAGCTACCCAGATTGAGCATGGTTCAGTTTCTGGAATGGATTTTACTTTTTCCCACTCGCATGATTTTCTAAGCTTTTGTTCTGGGATGATTATAATACAAAGAGGGAGACTTAGATGGTCTTAATGCACCATCTCCCAAATGTGGCAGGAGCCTAAGTGTGCTTTGTACTTTCCACTGACTCAAAGCACAACATTAACAGAAACACCCAAGATCTCTGGAATCTGAAAATGCACCATTCACATATCAGCTGTGTGATAAATCAAAAACCATAAATCAAATTGAATAATGAATGTTTACATTTGAAATTTCTTCACATTATCACAAATGCATCCAAAATAGATATAGGAGTCCACGTTTCAATGTCGTACATACTAACCAATCAAATATTAATGTACTTTCCTGTCAGCTCATACTCCAACATTTCTGAATTAAAAAGCTGATTCAGCTTTCACCCGGTTAATGTTTTATCCAGAAACACTCTCAAATGTGTCCCTTTCTCATTCACCAGACATATTTTCAAAATTATGTTTAATAAGGTACATTCCCAGCAGGCAACCAAAAATATCACCTGCAATCTTCCTTTAAATTCCTTAACTTTTCTTTCAATTTTTTAATCCATCTCAATTGGTACCTTTTTTGTGTGTGTTGTGTCTTTTAATGTTGTGTGCCATGCATTATACCAATATGTGATGGACATAAAAATCTTATGAAATATTCATAAAATTGTCATATTGGTATAAATAAATGTCTCAGATACAGTAAACCTGTATACATATTTCCAGTTTCTCTTTAAGATTCAAAGGTGACTTTTTTTTTAATTTGTTTTTGTCTCTCTGTCACGTGTTGTTTTAGTCCAGCATTCTCAACCACAGCTACCTACTGGAATTTCCTGGGAAGTTTAATCAAAACTGTCTTAAAATGATCAGGCCTAGATGAATAATTGCAAACAATGAAATAAAATTTTAATTGAAATTTAAATAATTCAATTTCTTAAAAATATATTTCTTTTAAAACTACATTTAATTTTGTATACTATTAAAATAAACTATGCATTGAGACTCACAGATAGGAAATGGGCTACACAGGATTGCCTTCTATACAGATAACCTCCATTTTTCCAAAGGAAGCCCAAAATAGACTTCTGTGTCCAGCCCCTTCACCTTTTGTCCAAAGTGCTCATTAGTCTTTCACAATTAAAGTTGGTAATCGTAATTAAAGCATCTCATTCTTTGAAACAGCCTTTGTCTCTGGGCCTCACAATTGTACGGAACTATCACCTGCTGATGGAAAGAAAAGCCAATAAGATAGCTACTAAATAATAATAAATTAAATTTCAAGTTAGTGCCTTTTACATGTGTAGATATCCTATGATTTTATTAGAAATGCATTCCAAAGATAAAGTTGCCAAATCTTGGTGAATCATCCATTAGAGGTTATTGTCATTGCTTGTGGTAGAACTAACCTTTTACTTTTCCACAGCTTCAGCTCCCACTTTTACACTGAATCAACTGAAGAAAACAATAATTATTACTAAAGACCAAAAAATCATCATAGAGTGCAAACCCCAAGGCTCTCCAAAACCAACCATCACTTGGAAGAAGGGAGACAAAGCAGTTAGAGAGAATAAAAGGTTAGAAGTCTATTTCATAATTCAAACTCTTAATATCAGACTTTTTCAATGCAGATGATACAAACAAAGTATATGTCTTGCCATAATTGTGAGATATATGTCATGAACTGACTGAACTATGGTTTTGTCTACATAGTGATTAAAAAAATATCAAATGATTTATAAAGAAAAAAGTTATACCTCAATATAGCCAGACTTCTTTGCTTCAGTGGTATTTCAGCACCAGTTGGGAATTTCACCAGGTTATGAAGAAAGCAAGCACTTTCATTAAGTTAGTAATTTTTGGTTTTCATTTGGGTCTGCCGATTTGAAGACCCACAAGTTATCTATGATAATTTTTAGAGATTGGATTCTCATTTCAATCTTAATATTAATAATAATATAAATATACCCTGGATCTTCTGGATAATCACTTTATGACAGAATACTTCCAAGTGAAATTTGTGCTGAAGTTTGCATTTTTGTTTTCAATCACACTGATGCAAAATACTATAGAATTATTTCAATTGCCACAGGCAAATGAGAAATGTTCAGAAAACTATTTAACGTGTAAAGGTTTGTCTTTGGTATGTAAAGCCAAAGGATACCACAGGAATACAAATGGGGAAAAGTGATGAGAGAATCAAATAGTTGCATGACAGTCTATATATGGCAAATTTGAAAGTCCCATTCTTTACCAATCATTATCATGTGGTGTTTTAGCTTTGGCAAAATATTATCCTCCATTCTGTTAAAATAATGTTGTGTATGTTGTTTTACAGTTTTGTTTTTCATTTGATCTATAAAGATAAGGAGTTTATGTTTTGTTTTATGTTTGGGTCTCTGTAAACATATAGCTAAAATAATTTAAGTCAGCATTAGGGGTCCATTTAAGCAATTCTTTAAGTAATTTTGGAATATTTTGAAATACTTGAAAAATTTCTTTAGAATATATATATATATATATATATTTTTCCCATTCAATTCTGAGAAACACTGTTTTAAATTGCTTGTCTCTGATGAAATAATTTATGAATGATTGGATTCCGTCCAGGCCCAAGGACCTACGCTGCCTGGAAAAGGTGATAACCTAGAATTGACATGGGTCATAATGGACATTTTGTTTTGAAAAAAATTTCTCTTTCTTAGTGGGGGTAGGGTTGGGCAGCAAATCACACACTGTGAGATCAGTGTTGCATTTCGTTGAATTGCCTTTGGTTGAATTACATATGGTCAAATTGAAGATTTTTGGATTATTGCTCAGAAATATGAAAAAAAAAACTGACACAAATCTTTCATTAAAGCAGAAGAAAATTAATTCATCATATACCAGTAAGAAAATATTTACATTGTTTGGTTACCATTTTTTCTGAACGTACTAAATTTTTTCATAATATCATCAAAATATATATGCCATATTAGTACAAGCCATTCCATTTGAAATGCATTACTTTGTTTTATGTTTGTGGATGGCATATCAGCTTTGTCTTATTTATTTCAGTTCACCATAGAATGTTCCTCATCAACTATTCATAGACATCACATTGAGTTTAAAAATGTGGCATCTCTTTTGTCAAAGCAAAAGTACTGAGAGAGGAACAGGATTATGTGTTTTCTATTACAACAAATATGAGCATGATATATTTTTATTTTCCAGAAGTTAAAAAGTATAGTTTGTGAATTTTCCATTTTTCTTGCTCACTTTTCTATTCACTGCTAACCTCTTGGGTTAATGAGACAAATACAATGGCTTCAAACTCAGATCACTCAATTTTTCCAGATCTAAATATTTCTGGTCAAAGTGCTATTTAGGAAAAAGGCTGAAAGGTGTTTTTATTTAAGTAAAAGGAAGATTTGGACACAATTACTTAGCATTGTGTTACGCTGATATGTTTATATCATAATAGGTCTGTAAACTGGTTTAATTTAATAACAAAGATCAAAGATAATAGTGCATTTTTATTTTTTTGGCCGCATCTGCACGACATGCAAGATCTTAGTTCCCTGACTAAGGATTAAACCCGTGCCCCCTGCAGTGGAAGCAGAGTCTTAACCACTGGGCCACCAGGGAAGTCCCAAAAGGGCATTTTTATTCTTAAAAATTGACAGGACCACTTGCAAAATATAATTTTTAGTTGTGTACAATTTACTACCACACTGAGACTTCAGGTTTCACAAAGAATACAATCTAGTTGGGTATAAAAAATATAAATGTTCAAATATTAAAATAAGAGGCTAAAATTTAATTAACAATAGAAAGAATTCCACAAAGTAGTATAAGAAGACACACATAGATATTTGGACAACTACATTCTAAAAATATGAATGGAAACTTGAAACTTAAAATTTTAATTATATGTATTATACATTCTTTAAAATAACATCTCAGTTACACATGAGAACTTATTTCCTTACATATATTTTAGATCGTTTGTCTCTGTTACAAAGAACCTCAACCATTTGTAAGAATTGTAAATATAAGCTTAAGTGGAAAGGGAGATGTTAGAAAACTGTTAAGGCTTTGAAAAGTTTGGGTCATATGTATTTCACATGGGGCTACAGATTCAAATCATGGTTTATTTTGTTGTAATATAAGTGTATTCACCATTCATGTGATCTTCATCAAGTATGTCCCCCACTCATGCAACCTACAACTGGAAAAAAAATGTGTAACGAATAGTTTTGCCCTTCATTCATAATCCTCACAGTTATTTGGTGTCTTTCCAAATTAAAGATTGAAACAGCAAATGGCAGTTTCCTACATGGGCAAATAAAGACTAGTATTACATTGGGGAAAAGGTTTTAAAGTAATAATATATCATAAGAGGAACATTTAAGTGTGAGAAACATATCCCAAAGCATAAAATTGTGTCCAGAGCAATAGCATAAAAATGTAATAAAAGCTTTTAATTGCAGAAAAATATGTTACCTAATCATCTGAAAACATGTCAGAAACTCAAAATGGTGAATTTGCATCTAGCATTAATTTCAATTTAACTCTAAACTGTAAATGCAATGTTATAACAACTGGAGGTTAATAGTCAGTCATTTGTTTTATCAATAGAGTGTCAAACAATTTATTAGCTTACCTTTTCTGCCACATTTTCATGGAATGTTCCCAAATCCAGTTTCATTTTGTTTGTTTTGGGAGGGATACTTCAAAACACAGACTTCTTTGAATTTATCTGTTTCACTAAAGAAATACATAAACCATTATTCTAAAGTTTAAAATTTAGTAAGGAATAACTAGAACACAACATGAATCTTAGAAGAAATATGATTAACAAATAAGTTGTCTGATTATATATTACAAAATATTTCATTCATTTGGCCCTAAATGATACATCTAAAGTATGTAAGAAAATGGATTATATTAGAGTTTGTGAGTTGCTTGTAGTCATTTGTTGTTTATATTACAGAATGAGTTGTTTATATCAGAAAATGATCAGTATCAACTGCTGTTCAAACATTAAATCATATTATTACTAATAATGATGATAATTACTCATAAGTCTGTAGCATTTATAATTTACAGAGCACTTTAACATTGTGGGTAACAGAACCCAGTGTGTATAATAGGAAGACTATGAGTTTTCAAAAAGTTACTTAATTTTCTTACTTATAAAATTGGAATCTAAAAGAGTAACTTTGTTAGGTTCTGAAAAATAAATGAAACTTTGTGTGTAAAATACATTGGCTGGTGTATGGCATTCAGTAAGTGCTCAATGAATGTTACCATGGTGATGAAGTTGTTGCTGCTGAAGTTGGCAGTGGTGGTGTCGGTGATGACGATGGTATCATCTGAGGCTTTGAATCTTTGCATACTGGTCTCAATTTTTGTTATCAATAGTTCTGAAAAACTTTAACACTTTCCTATCCTTTCTCTACCAATTAAGGGAAAGATACCTGAACTAAGTTATTATCTGGCATTAAAGGAGTCTTTGGGGCCTTCCATGTGACAAATTTGTTAATCTGTGTCCCTAAATTGACATTCTTTGTCCATCACACCCCAAACCTCCACTTCTTGGCATCTATTCCTGGTGTGGCCATTCTCACCAATCTTACCTACTCCTAGTTCAGTATCATTGAGATAATTTCTGAACTAGCAGGTTGAATAGTTGCTTGTTCCATGATCAGTATTTTAGGCCATGTGAATATACATATAGATAAATACACATGGGGAGTTAATGGAAATAGAGAAGAAGATTTTAAAACTATATTTATTTTTTTTCTTTTAAGGAATCTCTTGGTTTTGCCCCATTGCTTTTAAAGATCACCAGCACATATCCACTTAAGTTCCTTTATCAATCATGTCCATTTTCATACTAAAAGGAATTTGCTCCAGGAGTACTAAGACATGAAACAGTCCATGGGGATTTTCTCCTCTAGTATACTTTCATTCAGAATGTTCTGCTTATCAAACTCATATTAGATTTTCACTTCAGCTCATTATTTCCATTACTTGGCCATTAACTTTTGTTAAAATATAATCACCCAGAGGCACTCCAGCTGTGCACAGATATTAAGCTTGCATTATTCCTTGTTCATTTCCTGTACTTTTTGTGGACAAAGACAATTTTGGCTGAAATGAAGAATACATAGTTTTTGGTAAAGGCATGATTTGTTTCCTTTCCATCTGCATGTATATAAACTGTTATTGCAATGCATACAATATGCCATAACTGTTTTAAAAAATATTCACTATTATTGGAATAAGTACCAATTTTCATTTCTAGATGGGGGCGGTGGGTACCAGTTACAGAGATAATAGACTATAATTCAGATGGGTGCTAAAGAAACCCTGCATCCCAAAATAAAAAAGTATCCTATGGAGGGACAGTATTATAGCATAATTTTTCTTTTATGGGTCTATAATCTAAGGAAAGACTTGTCCAAAATCCCTTGTAATAATCCCCTCCTCACCAAAGGAGCTTCAGAACGGCAAAGTTTCCAACTTACTCATTTAACACGCACAGAAAAATAGCACTTGGAGTGCCCATTAGTTGACTTCTAGTGGGAAT